GGCTTGGAGCATTTTTGGAAAATTGAAAACTTCTGTTCGGAAAATTGTCCTTATGCATGAATTTGAAAGAATTTGATCAGTTGTGCTGCCAGTGCTGACCCATTCAGTAGAAAGATAAATGCTAATCGTGGATCCTATTCGTAAACGACATAATGCGCATCGGTGGATGAAAGGATTAATGTTGGAGTAACAAGATAGAAAAACGAATGAATGAATGAGAGCACAAACAACGATCTAATTTCCTGAATAAAAAAATTAAAGCGGAAATCAGCAGGTTACGTTAAATAAGACCGCCAAACTGGACCGGAAAATCAGAATGGGTCCAAGAGACAGTAAATGACCAGTGGGATATCATAAAGATCGAAAACAAAATGAGATAAAAAAAGTCAGCTTGATATAGATAGATGTAAAGTTGATAATAAAAGTAGATTATTATGAGATGAAGAAGACTTCATCCAGTCTAGCGATATCAACGCAGACTAATAAAATTGCTTTGTGATTGCAGTAGGAAATATTTACCTACATATCAGCTTTACTCCTAGATTACTGTATTAATAAACAGCCGTATATGCGGCTAGTGCATTTGGTTGATCTGATTTACGTTGATTTAACGAAGGTTTATAAGAAAAGCCTTCGAAATGTCAAAGATGGCAGCGGCAAACATGTACAGGGTCGGAGGTATGCGATTTATTGTATGTTGCAAAACTGTGAACGTGGTTTTAAGATTACGTGTATTTTGAAATCAACGCATCGGCGCCTTACCAAATACGCCGTGTCGAAGAGCTGAATAAGGTATGACGGCGATATGGTCACTCTTTCGCAGTTCTTATTTAAATTTAGACTCCGGCCGGCAATGTCGAAGCCAAAGTGATGTGTTTCTACAGACGGAGGGATATCACCACGTCTTTGCTGAAAGCCATTGATAATCGCGCAAAACGGACAGGTATTCAACTGCTTTCCGCATGTTAAAGTCAAAACCGAAGCTCGTTTAAATAACTTTCTCTGTTTAAGTAGTGTCATAAAGCATTTTGTAAACGATTGTTCTTTTTGGTTACGGAGGCATATGCGTCAGCAGTATTCCAACGTTCCCGATCCTGTTCCAGAGTTTGAGCTTCGACTGAAGATAACCTGATCTAGAGCAGAGTCTTGCAACACACTTGACCCAGGTTATTCCTCGCCGTACCCACGGTCTTCTCCCGGTCGGTTAAGCAAGTAGTTGTTTCGCCTTCCTTTCTGAATGAGTTCGCAATACTTGTCCAATCAGTCATTGCTGTGACTTATCAGCCTGGAAAAACACTGATTGTGCGTCAGTTCTCTCGGACTTCTGTACTCCTGATCATCTCCAGACGCCTAAGTCCAGTGTTTCGTCTCAGAAAGCCCGTTTCAATCGCATGCACCTTCACTATGGATTAGAGGTAGTTTTGTTCTCCTGCTGATGGTCGTCAGGTTATTGTTCTGCATAAGTCTTTAAAAAAACATCCAGTGCTGTAGAAAACGTAAAGAATGTGTTGAGTGTAAGTTATTCTTATTATCTGGCATGTGTGTTTGTCAACAGTTACCAACAATATCTAAAAGACGCCTTTAAACCAAGTCATGACTGCTGTGACAGATGTTTCGTATGAGAAAGATGGCAAGGGTAATTTCTTGCTTCCTTCAGAGTAGTAGCTTTTCATCAGCTCCAGAATGCCTCCGAAGCTCACTTAATCTTGGTACCTACTGTTGGCGTTGCTCGTCAAGTAAATACGAGTAATACTGTTTTTACAGTCGCCGTTTAGTATATTTTGGATGGGTCATCGCTTAACATGTCATTTGTGTTAGTTGTTTCAACGAAGAGTTATTTTCAGGGACCTTCGTTTGTGGTACGGAAAATGGTGAGGGCAACGGTGCAAACGCCGACAACCTGAGTGACATCCGGGTGATCGACAGTGGTCCATCGGTGCTCATGCCTGATGAGGAAAAACTGACCACTGACGAGGGTCATCGACTGTCTCATCGGGAGTTGTTTTTGTCCCGTCAGATCGAAACGCTACCTGCAACGCATATTCGTGGCAAATGTTCGGTAACGCTTCTTAACGAGATGGAAACACCGGAGTCGTATCTTGGAAAAGAAGTAAATACGTCCTTGTGTTTTACATATTTATATGCTCATATTTAACCCTACCATTGGTAAAACGTTTCGGTGTATAAGCGGTTTTGTTGTATTGCGGTAGTATATAACAAATATTGCTCGGAATATTCTTGACGAACAAGGCATAGTTGTAGCTAACAAATTGATCAGTGCATCTGGCACTGCTGTATCGTTCCGC